CTGAGGTGTCAATGAAAGAAAATAATTGTGGTATAAAGTAGTTAAATCCTGGGTGGGGGGAAAGGAGTTGTTATCCTCCAGGCTATTGGCCCTTTTACTAAGCATTAGACCTGGTAGGGGGTCAAACTCACCTGATTTCAGACTGGTGTTTTCCATTATGTATGGAAATACTCCACTGAAGTGTCACTGTATGACAGCCATTGTCTCGTCTGGGTGGGGACTGCACTCCCAATAAGTACTGTGCATTTTCCATGCTTTTCCACTGCTGGTTTTGCCACATAGCTCTGCTGGCCCATGCCTTGCAGGAAGCTCTCTTGATTTCCTGCCAGTCCCTGCCTTTTCCATAACTGCTTGACTGGGGCAGAAGTCACCATCTGCACTCACAGCAATGAAATGGGGAAGCTGCAGGAGAGGGTGGAAGTTAAAATACACACTCCTTTCCTCGTATGTATCTAAGAATTCAGCAAATAATTACTCAAAGAGTAATGACTAATTTACACCTGGGATTATTTAGAAAGATACACATGCTGATATACAGAACAGGCACAATATGCATCTGTGTAAGCAAGAAATGCATGTGCAAACATGTGGCCACCTGATCCTCTGTAGCCAAAGTAGAAGCCTGGCGAGAGAAGAAGGAAATGTTCCAGCATGACGTTGTGGGAGGCACTGCTCACAGTTCAGCAAAATCCCTGTTTGATGGCATAATGGCATTGACTCATCTTTTACCTACTGCTGGGAGATCTCCAGCGAGATCTTATCGCTGCTGGCAGAGGAATGCAGGTCGAGTTTTGTGCAACCAGCAGCCCACTCATTGGCTTCAGGAGCGTGTTGTGACGAGCAGCACTCCCTGCATGATCCAGTCGCTCTGCAGAGTCACCAGGAATAGGACAGGACCAGATTTGAATCCTGCTGAGGAAACTAGGAAACCTTCCCTCTGGTTTTTAGAGAAATTGATGTGCCCTTTTGACCCTTATCAACAAAAACAGTCTTGGCTGGTGTGTGTCGTTGTGAAGTCTATAACAGGGACGTAGGCCAAAGCCCACAAATTTTCTAAGTTGTTACACAGACAAACTCCCTCTTGCTAAAAAGATTAAAGATAGTTTGCTTGCTAGTAGATAAGTGAAAAATAAGATGGTTTTCTTTTGTTATGTTCTCCTCCTGACAAACTCCACTGAGGGAACACAGACATAAAACAAGGTTTACAGTGGAATACCAACCATGGATAAACCAAACTTCAGGATCTGCATGAATCTGTATTCATCTCAGCTATAGCTGTGGTTTTCTGGCTTCTTCTTTAATGAAGAAGTGTGATAAAAATAAACCAAATCTACATTCCTTGTGCATGCATATCTCCATGGATTTCACAGCAGGAATTTGGCCCCCTGTGTGTATATATACTATTAAGTTACAATTCCATTAGCAAATTAAATAACCACGTATTAAAACGAAGGCAAGAGTTAGGGACTGGTTTTCTTCTGTAAATTTGCCAACTCTCTGTGGCAAAGTGAATGTTCTGACACAAGTCAGACTGGATCAACAGACACATCAGTTAATAGAAAAAACACCATGCAGAGTCTACAGAAGAGCACTTTGAAAGAGGTCAAATACTTCAAGCTTGGACATTGGCTTGACATTGGAGAAAGGAGACTAAGATGGAGCAAGTGAGTCAGGAATGTGAATTAAAGCTAGTTGAAGTGGTTGTTAGGGGCATCTAGCCCACAAACCCTGAGAAATTCAATCTCCATCTGGTTTCAGTGATCGTCACATTCATTATAATATGATTATTTTTTAAGGTATGGTGTATTTGAAACTGTTAGTTTTGGTCACCTGCAACGCTTAATAAATGTGAGAATGAAGCACCAATAACAAAAGCAATGACATCTCTTTTACCTTCAAAATACCACCCCCCACTTCAAATCCACCTCATACAGCCTTTCACAGACAATGTTAGTTGTAGTGTGCAGTGGTTAGCTGTATAGGGCTCATTCATTCCTGTTCAAAGTACAGGTGTGACTACAGCTGAGGATGTGTCAAAAGGAAATGAGAAAATTATCTCAGGGCAATTACTGAAGAAATTCTCTGGGAAATTACTGAAGAAATGGTGGAGTAACGTTACATCTGTGCAATAAAAATAACTGCACAGATCATAGAGAATGAAAAAAAGGAAAAAAAGACTTCATGAATGGGCAGCCATTACCTGTCTGCATAGAACATAGCTAGACCAACATTTAGGAATAAGAAAAAAAAAAGGGAAAATATTTAGGCTATGCTAGTAGACAGTATTAATTTCATTGATTAATTGAATGCATTTATCATTTCCTCTTGTCATTACAATGCAATCTTTGTTGTAAATCTTGGGTTTATGTTATCACTGATCATCCACTAACCTTGCCAGCATGAGGGATGGACTCAGTAGAATTGATGGATGCCAGTGCCCTTCTGGGATTGAGCCCTGTCTTTGGTCTTTCTCTCAGCAATAGACACTCATTGAATACTGAAGACAGCGGATAGTAAACACTTTAAAATTAATTAATTTGAGGAGGTGGCATACTTAATTTGTATTGATTGTGCAAATGCCATTGCTTTGCTCTTCAACACCCTTTTCCAGGGTGGCCTGTAAAGCCACATTCATCACTGAATGAGTATATATCAGAATCAACAGCAGAGGAACTGCAAAAAGATTTAGGATTTCTCCTCCTACTTTTGATGTAGCTCAAACCTACCTAAATAAGTAGAGATTGAGAACCATCAACACACAAATGACATTTTTCTCTTCAGCCTATATTTTCAACCTGATCCCTGACAGGGAGAAACCTGATGTGATTTAAAATACACTGCTTGGAGCATTTCTAGGCCTAATCTTTTGGGCAAAAGACCCTAGAAATCCAGTTGTCATCTGCAAAAGTCAGTACTGTTACAATATGACACATACTGAATTAAAATCTAGAAGAAATGTTCCATTCTTAGAAAAGGAAATGGAATTTAGCTTTTAGTTTGACTTTAAATTGCATGTTCATAAAAAACCCAACAGTGTTTGGGCTGCATGCTCTGAAAGTCACAGAAAATGAAAAGGAAAAAAAACCCTATTAAATATTTCCCTGCACAGCCACACCTGGTCCTTTTAAGTTTTACTGTGGAGACTTATGAACAGTGAAGATGATGATGTAATTTACTCTTGGCCATAATAAACCTTAGACTCCAATGCTATGATCTCACATTTTTCATGAATATTAGAAAGAAAAAAAAACAACATCAATCACCATCTGTAGATGTGAATATTTAGAACTCTACATTAGCAAAATCATATCAGGCTTCTTTTAAGCCAAGTAGCTGTGTGCCTAACTGATCTCATTTTCATTTTTATCAGTTTTACCTTTGTGTAACATCAGCTTCAGCAGACACTTATCTTTACGCTGCAGTCACAAAGGGCAGAATCATACGTATATGAGTTCAAACCAACAAAGATGAAAAAATTACAAAGGTTTTTGACAGCTGTATTATAAGAAAAATGATCAGATACAGATGACAGCAGAGCATTTCTAGCCAAGAGAGAGTTTTAAGACAAGTTAAGCAATCAATCATCTACATCACTCACTATTCAGCGAGTCGACATTCAACATCTGAATCAGTCATTACAGAGTAAAGAGAATTAGTAAAGTCTCTTACAAAATGCAAATAAGTGAACTGGAGGACAATAGAGTCAAATTCTAGAACTTGGCAGGAAGCCATAAGAATTATTTTGACAAGACTGCTTGAGGTAATTTGATTGTTACATTTAAAAGAAAAATAATTTTTAAAAAGTGAGCTTCAGCCTTGAGCAGTACAATTTGTGATATAAATGTATAGTTATATTTAGTGACAAAAAGTGTAGAATAAGGAACAAAATATGGTGTCTACTCTGATGCTTTGCCACATTGCTACATGAATTAACTATTTTTGGTGAGAGTGAGAGCTTTTCCAAATAAATACAAAGAATATTAAAGCTAAAAGCTATCTTAAATGGTATGCAACTAACAGTGTTTGTCTTCCTTGAGTATGTTGCTACTAATGTTTTTGCAAAGTTTCAACCTGCTTCAAAATCCACCTGGTATAAGGGAACATCAAAAATACGTTTAACATCTGCAGAACTACAAAGCTGCAGGTGTGAAATTCTGTAAAATCATAAGTATCACTATTACCTACGTCCAAAAAATCCCCACCTAACCTCTTCCTTGTTCATACAAAAGAATGAGTTAAAAAGAAGGAAAATTAGTTGAAAATTAGGCAGAAACTTTTAACAGCAGTTTCTCCTTGATTTCTGTCAGTATATGGGATTACTCACTTCTCAGTTGGAATAATTGTTGAAAATGGAAGTTATCTTACTGAAAACTGAAAAGCCACAGAAGGTCTCTGTGAAGAATACCAGAACTAGAAAATTACTCTTGAGTTTAAAGAGAAGCAAGGTTACTTTCTCTAGTCAAATTCTTGTTCCAATCAAGGGAACAACATGCTACCTGTGTGAGAAAGCTCAGAAGATAATACATTTAAGAATAGGTGCTACATGTTATTTTATCTCATCCGCTAGTCATTCTTATCTCTTTTCTTGTAACTTACAGATCTTTATGAATTTTTTTTTTTTTCTGTTGGAAATAGATTTTGTGTTTAGATGTGGTTATCAGTCAGTTATCCCCAAGTTTATCCTTGCAAATCTCATTGATTGAACTAAATTGAACTTTGTCCAACAGTTGATGAGCTACATGGATAGAATTTTACCACCTAAAAGCTCATACAGGTTTTTAATTGATTTCACTGTTGTTTCGACCTCTTTGTAGAGCTGAATCTCACAAGCAGTTTGGGTGCTTGAAATAAAAACATTCAGGGGCCCAGGTAAATAATGCTTTCACTTGTTTCTACACCATGAGCACAAATTCCTAAAATGGTATCTGTACAAGTCAAAATAAAAGTTTCTATTTTCTTTGACCATATTAACAACAGAAGTATTAACCTTTATCTTACAGAAATGTTGGAATCCAACAATGTAATCAATTTCAATGGACTAGCTAATAGCTCCAGTTACCACACTTTCCTCTTGGACGAAGAACGCGGCCGGCTGTATGTTGGAGCAAAGGATCACATATTTTCTTTCAACCTGGTTAACATCAAGGAATATCAAAAGGTACATTCATTCATGTTCTGTACAATGTAAATATATGCTTTGAATGTTAAAGACTCGTTATTGCTCAGGCTATGTTGTGCACTGTTGGAATTATATAGGAAGTGTTTGGATGTCAGGAGTACTGTTACGACAAAAATATTTGCTGACTCTATGAAAAGAAATTTATAACGAGCGTGTGACCTTTGACTATATAATCTACAATATTTTTTTTAATAAGACTACAAAAAAAGAAGTCAATGATAAGTGAATAATCCAGCTATTTCCCAAACAAGACATACTTTCATGGCAACTGCTAAAAAAGCCAAGCATCTGTTATGACAGCTTAAACAGAAAGACCATACTGCTCTGTATTTGTCTGCAGATAAAAGAAGCTATTTGGGAGTCCAAGTGTTGATTTTTCTTCTTTAACTCAGCACTTGTAGGCACTCTGCTCTGCTGCTTTTGAACCAAAACAGTTCCAGTATTAATAAAGGAGGAACAAGTCCATAAAATATTGCCATTCTTGATGGAGATTGTAATTTTCCAGTGAAAGTTCGTGACTAATTAAAAGCTGACAAACAATTTAGTGTCATTCTTCTGTTGGAATCCAAAGAAATAATTAAGTTTTCCTTTTTTTAGTAAGACAAAATGTCAAGAAGGTAAACAATGGGATGGAGGTTTGATTTGTTATATTAAGTATTTTGATGGCACATTTTAAAATCCAGAGAGTACCCTTTTATGAGAGATATATTGCTTCAATACCCAGGGATTATTTTTTTTTCTCAGTGTTCCTGACCTTTTGGCCGTTTGACTATTAGCTTCCTAAGATGATAGCAATAAATACCTTGTGTTTTCTGTTCAGAGGGAAGACAGGCTATTCATTTGTGTTCTCTAAGGATAAGAGGATAAAAGGAAAACTGAGTATTTTCTTTTCTATTCTCTTTAGAGCAGCTATAAAGGAAACTAGCTATTTATTTGAATTCTCTGAGGGATCAATTGCTTAATGTGCAAAACATCTGGAATAATTAAAGGAAAGAAGGTGTTTCCATTGCAGAAAACAGCTCTGTAGAATGGGAGTGATAGTATTTTACGTACTTACATATTCAGATACTTTTAGAACACTGTTTGACTTTGTATACAAATATTAATAGATTAAATAAAGAACTGCTGTCAGTAACATGGAAATGTATGATAGCAACAGACTTAGAGAATTTAGATTTAAGAGTAGGCAAAAGGCTTTATGAGTTTGGGGATCTGTTTATTATAGATAGGAGAGTCACGTAAGACACTTCAATCAAAATTACAATGCAGCCAGTGGTACACTTGAGCTCAAACTTCACCAATTGTTGCTTCTGTCACCTAAGAAAACTCCTCAGGTTTCTGTCTAAATGCTGATGGCAACATCAAAACTCAAAAAGCCAATTTTTTCAATGTACTTAATCCAGTGTGACGTATCTTTTATTTAAACCAAATTAGAGGAAAAGATTTTACTATGAAACTAAGGAGAAAGAACATCTGTCTTGAAATACACTGGTTTGAAAAATACTCAGATTTTTGCCCAAAACTTGAACTAAACTTCAACCGGTCCTTTTGGGATATCTGAGAAATTTGGTTAATGTTTTTCAACCTAGTAAATTTAAATTTTCACATATCTGCACATTTTAAGCTGAGAATAGCAACAGGAAGTAGTGGGAATCCTCTGAGGGCAAATGTGCTCATAAAATTTTCAGCCTTATTTTATAGACTTAGGATGTTCGATTGCTGTTTGGATTACTTTAAGAAAATTTTGAATTTAAAAAATGTTGCAAACTATATTTCCAAATATCATCTGCAACATCTCCTTTGACCCCTTCAATCATCCACATTCCATCTTTTTTTTTTTTAATATTTTGCATTTTGCTTTCTATTAACAAACTTTATTGAACACCAAGACTGTAATCCAGACTTAAGGCCATTCATATTGCATTATCTGAGGCTCCCAAATGAATAGCCTGGCACTTTATGGGAAGATCATGTTTTATTCTATATGTAATTCCTAAAAGCTTTTCAAAGAAACATGAATAATTGACTGTGAGGGTCTCTGGATTTTCTCTGTATGAGGTGAGATCCATTTTCTGCTAAGCAAACACTACAGAAAACCTAGATTTAGGATTAGTTGCTTTAGGGTGGCTCTATAGAAACAGCATAAACATTTCTATTTTGATGGTGCAATATTTGTCAAATACCATGACTCCTTTTTTATTATTTAATTAACTGAACCAGGAAAAGAGGGAACTATTAGATACACTCTAATAGAAGAGGCAAACACTTTATTTCTGATGCTGGGACTCTAATGTGAGATTGTATTTCCATTATGTGAGATTTAAAAGATTAAAATAACACTCAGTCAATGGAGAGTCCGCCCTCTTACCATTAGGACTGGAGATTCACAGCTGAAATTCACAATGCAGACTTCAAGATTGTTTTTACTATGACACCTATTATTCCCGGTTTTGCTCCCAATATTTCATTCCCTTGTTGTCAAATTAAAAAAAAAATGGAAATAAGGAAAATAATGAAGGGAAGATAAATTGGGTAAAGAGACTCTGTAAGCATTTGGCCTGCAATTTGTGAATGCTGAAGCATGAAATAACACAATGTGATTTTTGTTTTGTGTCTTTAGATTGTTTGGCCCGTATCGCATTCCCGAAGGGATGAGTGCAAGTGGGCTGGAAAAGATATTGTGGTAAGTACAAATCTTTTTAGTGTTTTTTTTCCTTTTATAAAACATTGTAAATATTTTATTATGTCCTACTGTGTTAATTCTTAAAGTATTTTTCCTATTCTGTAAGGTCACACACATCATAACTTCGCTCTTGAGTTTTATCAGTCCTCTTATATAGAAGGGTTATTATATTACCAAGGGTTTCAATTTATAAATGGAAATCATACAGATGAAATAAAATTTATATACCAAAGAGAAAAAAAAAATCAGTAGGAAAGAAGAAATATCAGAATGAGAAATATCAGCCCTTGCATACTCATCTCCTGATGAGAGGGTACATAATGTTTTGACCCATTTTTGCCCTGCTCCAGGTCCCAGTTCTCAAGGGAGTTCCAAGAAGTGCTTTCTCTTTGTAGCATCTCTCTGGAACCAGTGGGTTCCCCAGAGCCCTTTCCTGCATGGAGTTCATAGCAATATTGAGGTCAAGGTGGTATAAACATTCTGCATCAGTTTTGGTGCCTCAGAAAAGTCAGGAAAGACACTGCTACACCAGGCATCATTTTCTGAACATTTTCCCTCATTCCTGCGTACATCCTATTCCCTGTATTTATGAGGTAAGAGAGACATAGTCAGCAGCCCCCAAATAGCAATCATTCCACACTGACAGTAGCTGTCTTCTTTATAGGAACAGTGTGGGAAATAGGGCTGAAGGAAAGGGGGAAAAACAGATAAAAAATACATGCATGCAATAAGCCAAACAAATACTTGCATAGCAAAGCCAAGTGGGAAATCATCGTGGTTGCCAAGGTATAAGTGAGAGTGGAACTTGGCCCCGTGTGTATATGCTATTGGCCTGATTTTCAGAGATGATTCTGTAAAATATTCATAATGCCAACCATATGCCTCTGGAGAGCTCCATTTGAATAATTTCCTAGGTCATAATAAAAATAGTCTCATCAGTCTTTACCTAGGCCATAGAGGACAGTTGTCTTCAGAAAATGCCATCTGGGAGCAGTAGAGGTAGATTGGTAAAAAGTGAGAAATATGGGCTAAGCTAAATATGTGATGGGACAGCTGAAATGCCAGATACCCAGGCCATCTCATTACATAGAAATAATGCATTTAAAGTAATCCATGCTCATGTCCACAAATAATTTCCAGGAGTACTTTGCAAGGTGAAGCCTAGAATATCTAATATTCAAGGTTAAAAAAAGGGGCTAGTGTTAAATATATGAGCAAATTAACTAACCTTCCTGCTTCATCTCATGTGAAGTATGATTTTACATTAACTAGATTTTTTTTTATGACTGGAGTAAAAACCTAGAAAACTGATAAGAGATTTAGTACCTAGCATGAAAGTATATTAGTTTTTTTAAATAATTATTTTTAGAAACTCACCATAGTAAGGAAGAGTATGCTTTATATATTTGACTAAGCTGATTCTAATTCAGCTTAGTTGTTTAAAATTGTAGAGACACATCTGGAGTAAGCTGAGAGGTCCCCATCTGACTGTGGTGAGCTTGAGAGGACTGCTTATGCTGTAACTTTTATTCACCTTGGTTCTTTTTCTTCCTGTGATACAAGGACAGCTACGCCTGCTGATCATAAGTAGGTGAAGCCCACACCACTGTGCAGTACAGTGTGTGACCCTGGCAGTAGATCCTGTAAGGTTAGATCCTATAAGGTTGTTTGGGGTGGTTTTGCTTATTTTGGGGGTGTTGTTTTTGGTTTTTTTTAATTTTAGGGTTGTCTACAGTAGTAGGTGAGAAATAAAATAAACATGTAGGAGGCTATACAGAGGGAATACATATCTTGATGTGATCAGAACAGTGTCTTTAAATATTTAGAGCTACCATGCCATAAACCAGTGCATTACAAGCAACATATTTAATGCAACTGCTTTAACTCTAATTACAGATAATTAAAAAACCTTATTTTTCCTCTCTTATTTATTTCTTAAAGCCATTGTCAGTACCTTGGGAGTGTGAAATATAAAGGCCATAAAAATAACTCAACAAACTCTCATTAGAGGGAACAGGAGAAAAAGAGGACAAATAAAATGACTTATAAAGCAGGCTCGATATAATACTGCTTTCAGCATGTACCACTTCTAAGATATTATATACTCTTCACTTGTGGTGGTTCAAAACTTTCTACATGACAGCTTGTACTTCTGCATTGAGGTCTTTTTTAAAATAAAACCTCCTTTTAATTATTGATCTCCAGGGTGTAAGTCAGTGCTGAAAATGCAACCCCCACTAATGGGCCAGGTGCGCTGCAGCAGCTGCAGCACAAGCGCAGCCCCGGCCCTGCCCCAGTGCTAACCTCAGCCATGACCTCTGAGATTTCCTCTCATAATTAGAAGAGGTAATTCAGCGTTGTTTGCACTCCTTCAGAGGGATTCCTGGTCCTGATGCTGTCAGTCACGCCCGTCTCAGCACAGCAGGTTCGTGGCTCAGGATGGTCCACACGGGATTTGAGGGGGGCAGCCAATGGGGCCTATTCCTGCTCTCCTGCTGTCCCTCTGTTACTTAAACAGTTATTTTAATTTCTGTTTTTAAAGAGCTTAGAATATGTTAATTACTCAAGCTTTACTCACTGCTTAGGTAGATAAAACTTTTAAAGTGTGCTTTGGACTTTTTTCCATATGAGTAAGCTGAGAAGAGTTGCTAAAAAACTCTCCCCCCAGCTATGCAATACTTATTAAAGCAGGACTTCTCTGAAAAAAGGTTAACTGCTAAAATATAGATTTTTTCCCAATAAAATCATAATTACTGACCCATGTAACTACTTAGTATTACAATATATTTCCATTTCCTCAGTATAGAGTATCACAAGCACCAAAGTAACATTGTTCATGAAAAATTAAAGGCTATAAATAATAAATAGGATATTTGCTTACGTAATTCAACGAAATGAGTAATTCTGTGAGGATTTCTTGCTATTCTGGACTTCAGTGTCTTATTTGATCTATTCTGGTCCCTGTTAGTCCTGTGAATATTTCTCATGATTCCTGGCCAGACCTTGGTAATGATCAAAGAAGACAAAGTCTCTACAGAATAATTCTCAGCTTTTATACTGAACTTACAGAACAGTCATGCTGCTAGTCATATTCCTTACTGGTGAGCCTCAATATTTCATTTAAAAATACAACAGTCACCTACAAATACACATGGAAACCACATTAAATGTGGGATAAATAAGGGGTAACTAACAGAAAAAGAAAAAAAAAAGTGGCTACAATTCTATTTTGACATTCCTGAGATAGCATAAACCAGCAAAGCAGAGCTTGGTGGTTTACAAAAGTTATCAGAAACACTAGTTAGTTTTGCAGGTACGCTTAGAGCAAGGAAAAGTTCCTGACTAGAAACCTCATTTAGTCCTTAAACTGTTAATTTGTCATTGCTTTGAAACTTTTGGCTGCTTTGGCTGTTTAGTCAATAAATCTCTGCATTAGATTTGCACTGTAGCAGTAGTTCACAAGTTACACAATTAATCAGAGTAATTCCTATTAAAGGGTACAATAGGTTTCTATTACCTGAAAGCTTAAAAAATGTGTTTCTGAAGGGCACCTTAGGATGTTACTTTAAGTGCAATTTGACTATCCAATTTATATAGCCACTTTTAAAGATTCCAGGTCAAATTAAATTGTTGAAACTGTCTCTTCTGGCCTTGACATGCATAAATGTATAAAATTTCAGTAGGTGCTTTAACAAAGTCACATAGGACAAGCTGCACAATGACAGACACACACTTTTCACACTGTGAGGCATCAGCTTCTCCCTGGATGTTTCTGGTGAGAAATGCACATTGATGTACAAACAGATACAAAGAGTGCCAAGGGCTTTTCCTTGGTACCAGCAAGTTTCTACATCTGCTCTGTCACATGAACAGAGAGTTACTCCATCCAGGGCCAGAAAGAGTTACACTTCTGTGTACACAGCTGAAGTGCACCAGAACATTTGCATGTGGGTAAGCGCTGACTGGATTATAATAATAAAAGGAGATAGGCATCTACCTGGGCTCTTTAATTGGAATTAAATTTTACCTAGTTATTATCTCTCACCTGATTCCAACTGTGCTTAACTTTTTTATACCTAACAGTTCTCTTGACAGAGAGAGAATCTCTCTCTATTTCCAGTGACAAAGCTTTTAAGGCTCTTTACACATATTATATGACATAGGCATTTTCCGTGCATGCTTCTTTGCATTAAAGTGTAGCTAGCACTTGATTATTCAATCTATTGTTCATGCAAATACAATCACATGACTGTAATTTACTGCACCATCTCATTTGTTTTAGTAATACTTAAAGCCAAAATGTTCATATGTGATCTTAGTTTATGGTTTCCTTAAAGTTTTCTGTGCCCTCCCTAAAATATAGGAAGGCAGAGGATTGATCTTTAGGCTTATGGATCCACCACTGTGCAATGATTTCATTTGGAAAGAAAAAAAAAAACAAAAGAAAGTAAAAAGTAACTCAACAAGTGTCCCTCAGCCATATCTGGTGATATTTTGGGAAAAACATAGTTGGCTATAATTGAACACAAGTCTCCTTAACTCATTTTATTACTGTTGTTGCCTTAGGGAAAATAGAACATAGAGGCAGAAAGTAAACGTAATTCTTTTCATCTGTTATTGTAAACAAAGATCTGAAGAGGGAATCTGAAAATTAAATATACAGTTCTGGCTGGATCTAGAAAGCATGTTTCTAAATTCATCTGACAGGCACAATTTTTCCAGTCAAATTACCTTTGGCCCTTTGGGTGTCCCAAAGAGAAGTTCTCTTCTGTCATTCTCTTCTGTCAGGGTTCTTCCTTTGGAGGACATCTACAGCCAGATTTCCAGCTGTTCTCCCACCAACCTTCATTGCCATCCCTTTTTCCTTTCTGGCTTCCTGTCTCCAGCACAGCAGTAAAATTCTTTACCAAAGCCTAAAGACCCAGGATGCCCTTCCAGCCTGGGGGAAAGAGAAAGGTGAATGTCCCCTGGGAAGAGGGGGGAAATTAGTAAAAATCCTA